TTTCCCTGGGGCTAGTTGTCAGGGATCATGTTCGGGTCCCCCTCAGATTCCTCCATTTTCAACAGGATACATGCCCTTCGCGCACCTGATGATGATCATCCAATTTCGTGTCAATCTGTGACTCTGGTGTGGAGAACTATTTTTAGACTACAGAGTGTGTGTTTTTTTGTGGGGGGGGGGTTGGGGAGGTTGATGTGGTCTCAGAATGAGTAAATGTAATCATGAACTAAACAACAGACACAACAGAAGGGGAATTTATGGCCTCCATATTTTCCCACAAGAAGTGCTCACCCGGAGGCCACCCTGAACTACACGGACACAAATCGACACACCCCAAGCTAGTTCACTGCACCAGTGACGGCTTTGTCGGGGGAAGTAAAATCAGGACCGTCAGGGGTTATAATTCCTTTTCTACAAGCGGCGGCTCTGTCGGCCCACCGGAGGAGGCGGAGCTTATCCCTGCTCTTTATAAAATGTTGCCCGCAGTAGTAAAAAAATTGTAATTTGAAAGACGCTCAAGAGGTTTACACTTTGCGTGCAAGGTAGCAACGGGAGGAAGCTTCCCTCCATGCCCCAACAGGAGTTTTAAATAAACAAAAAGATTTTCAGAAAACAATTTAGATCAAGAGTTGTCTCTGGAAGAAAGTGGAACATCAAAAGTTGGCCTTTTAAGGAAAGTGAAATCGGTTCCCTTGTATTCAGGAAGTGAAGCATCAGTCAGTTTTCTTCTTTTTAAGTCGGTGCAGTCAGTTTGACTTGACACTCGTCATTTTCCATCGTCTTATATTTCCTCACCCGAGTTCATGACGAGGGGTTTCCGTCTCCGCCGCGCTCATCGCTCCCCCCCACCACCGTTTCCACTGCCGGTGAGGCGCTGAAGCTCTAACAAGGCCATTAAACGCGTCAATCAGCCACAGAGCGACCCGCTCGGCCAAAGAGCTGACAAAGAGTTGAGACGTCGGTCAGCTTGTGGATTTCGGGGAAGGACGGAGAACAGAAAAAAATAATAATAATTTTGATGTGAAACAAGCAAAAATCGAGTGAGAATAAGTCCCTCCAAAAACTTGTCAAGATAGTTGGCGTGAACGACTTCATGTCTGGGTTGGACTATTCAAAGTAAATGACACACTCGTTTGTGTTTGAATCAGTGTGAGTCACAAAAACGGATTCGCCACAACAAACCGATCATGCGCGGACTGCCGCGTTTATCCCCGGGCTAAGTCTTTTTTTTTTATGTGGAAGAATTAGTCTGATGTCACGGCAACGCCGCTCCCGAATATACAACATGTCTCAATTCGAGGCGCCCGCCGCGGCCGCCGTTACTCGCAAAATTGTCATTGTTTGCCTGAGCACTCGGCTCTTGATCTTTACCAATGGTTCACTAAAAATGAGATTAGAAATAGTCTACATGCAGTCCATATTCCCATTCAGGAAGCGTGCAGTTTCTAACTATCGGGTGTATGCTTTGGACCGACAAGTTCCCTTGGGGAGCCTAAAACCTCAATGGAAGTAAGTCTTGCATTCACCAGAGGGGACGTACTGCAAACATCGACAACTACCGGTCGGAACACACACGGCGTTTTTTGGTGCAACGTTAGATTGGAGGAAAGATTGCGTATCCGTTTGCCCCCATTCGGAGTCTTGAGTCGGACGTTTTTCCAAAGTCCTGCGGTCTGAAAGCATGTAGGAATGTTCCAACAGCAGAAACGTAAAAATGAAAACCGCCCCCCCCCCGCCCCCCTCCGAC